ATTGCTGGTAATATTTATTTTTCCTTAGAAAAATGTATTGCTTGTAATATTTTTACTATGAAAATATATTGTTGACACCTTCACTATAAAAAATGTATTTCTACACTTTTATAGTGTTTTGAATATTAATTTGAGGTTTAACTATTTGCCCATAAGCTGGGATCCTTTAATGTTACCACAAAATTGGACCTGGGAACAACAGCAATTAAGAGATGGTTTCATGTTCCTCAAAACCTCCCGATCAAAGGCTTGCTGTTAATTCCATTTGTTGGGCATTTTTGCCTATTACACTTCATCATAGCCAATTACTATACATGGTATGCAAATATAGATGATGGTAGCATATAATGTAATTTTTGAAAATAAAGAATAAAGTCTAGCTTTGAATTGCTGTAACCTGTTAAGCATTATAGCTCAATCAGGAAGGCTGGCTTTCCATGGAGAAAAGATGTGAGTTTGCCAGAGGCTATTCTTCCTTTCAAATGTTTTACTAATGACTATAGAATGAGAGATTTTTAATAAAAAGCAACTGAAATTAAGATGTAGTCATTAAAAATTAATATTTCATTTAAGAAATTTGAATAACATTTCATCTAATACAATTTGTGTAATAAAATGCAAGTGAAATTAAAATGAAAGAAATAGTCATCAAAAATTAATAATGTTTAATCTTAGAAGTTAGAATGTTATTTCATTTAATATGGCAATTGTATTATTAGCCATTTCCTTATAAGGAAACACTCAGCCTTCATTGACTGAGCAGCCAGTGCTGTTTCCAGTTGAAATTTATAAAATTGTTCTCTTGAAACAATTTTTTAGGAAAATATGTTTTCAAAAAATTTATCATCACTTTCAAGTATTAATAATAAGGTGTTTCCTTGAATTTTTTTTATTTGAACTAGTGAAAAAAATTTTTTAATTTTTAGCACAGCCTATGCTGTGTTCAATTTCTTAAATTTGTTATAACTGATCCATATACTGAATATGATTAGTGTAATTAAAACAAAAGAAATATTAATAATATTCATATTTCTAAAACGTTGTTTTTCTCTTCAGGTCGTATTTTAAAATTGAATTTATTTGGGTATTGACAACAACTATTTGCTTCTCAAACTGGTTGGTTGGCTTTGTTTAGTGGCCTATCAACCTCTATGGATTATTTAATGGCAAAATCTAAAAATTTTGGACACAATTTTATTTATTTATTTTTTTGAGATTTTTATTGATACAAGTTCTACTAATTAACCCATAGCTGGGGGTGGGAGAAGAGGTGGATTCATACATTTCCCAAAGGTATTTGCACATAAGTGAATATAGGAAGCTGACAGGAATTTGAACTCTACTTTCTTATTTCCAATTTGAGTTGTTATCCAGTAAGCCACCTACACATCCAAGCTTACAGCACTTGTAAGTAGTCACACATCTAAGTAATGAACAGTACAAATGTTGCTTAACTTTGGGAATCATACAGGAACCAATGTTTTAACTTGATGTAGCCATAACCCATTTTCAGCTTGATTCTAAGACTCAAACTCAAGGCCTTGTGATTCATGATTCATTTTTCCAGGAAGTAGCTGCATTGCACAATTTTAGGAAATATCACAGATATAAATGAGTGCAGTACTAGATTGGCATTTAGGTCTCATTATTTTAGTGTTGAAATTGCTAAATGTAACCATAAGTTCTGTACTAACATTCTTCTCTATTATTTTTTCTTTTTTACTGTTTGGAGATATATAAAAAAATATTTTATTTAATTATTTTTTTTTTTTGTCTATTTTTTTTGTTCTTTTAAAAAAAATTATTTCCAAAATATTTTCCCTCAGATTCTCTTTTAACCTTTTTTTCTTTTCAAAACACCTTGAAATGTTTTGTAATTATATTAAAAAAAAAAAAAAATTGCAAATATCACTTTGACTTTTTTTTTAATTTTAAGAATTATATTATTCTATCATTTGAATGATGTTTGACAATCCATAATGATTCATTTTGTTGATTTTCTGAACAATTCAATTTTATATAACATTATATAAAATATATAAAGTTATATATATTTTTTTCATTTGGAAACAAAAAAAATGTTTTTTTGCTTTTTGAATGTTTTTTCTTTTTTGTTTCTTTTAATGATTAATAAAATTTTTTATTTTTGATTTTTTTGTTATCAAACAATACAGTTTGTTTGTCCTGTTTCAAAATTTTATATTGATTTTTAAAATTAAGGCCTTTTAAAAGACAGCAAGGATCTATTAAAAAAAAATTTTTGTTTATGCATAATTCACGCCTGAATGAATATGATTTATTACTTTGCCATTTGAATTTTTTTATTTTTTTTTTATTTAAATAAAATGATAAAAATGGATATTTTCTTTACCAACATATTTATTTGGAAAATTTTTATTTAGAATTTTTAAAATAAATTAACTTAATTATATATATATATATATATATATATATATATATATATATATATATATATATATATATATAGGGTGCGATGGATAAATTGTCATCTAAATTATGCAAAAATGAAAATAACACTGACATCTCATTTTAACAGATATATTTACCAAAATAACACAAAAATATCTTGAAATACTAAAAAGTAAATTTATTCAATAAAATCGTCATTGGCTTCAACCACGGCCTCCAGATGACTTCAGAATCTCCTGCAACTCTTATGGATGGTCTCATTGTTTAAGTTGGTGAATGCTGCCATAATCCTTGCCTTCAGTTCATCTTTGGTGTTACAAGGAGTTTTGTTGGTCTCTTGCTCAACTGCCCCCACACAAAATAATGAAGGGGGTTGCAGTCTGGGGAGTTAGGTGGCCAGATGTAAGGGGTGATGTGGTTGCAGAAATTGTCTGACAGCCATGACTGGGTTCTCCTGCTTGTGTGGCATGGTGCAGAGTCCTGTTGCCAGACATAGGGTCTTCCAGCAGCAACCCTCTTGACCTAGAGCAGTACTACCTCCTCAAGGCACTTGATGTAGGCCTCTGTGTTGAGTCTGAGGCCCTGTGGGAAGATGAATGGAGGCATCTTATCAGAACAATTGCCATCACTAGTGATCACTCCAAAAACCTTCATAATCACCATTAGACTCATCCAACTCTTTCTGAATCCTCTGCACTGTCCTCAGATTGACTCACAAACACTCTGAAATGTTCGTATTAGAGTTTCTGGCACAAATGCCAAGCAGTACAGCATGCCATTTCCAAATTTCTGGTGGAGTGAATTGTGTCATGGTGTTCTTTTTTCACACAGATGGTGCCCAACTGACCCTACTATAGTGTGCAGTTGACAAAATCAAAAACAACATGCATGTGTGAAATGAAAAATATAAAATGGCAACAATCTACCCATCGCACTCTGTATAATGCATGTAAAACAATACTAATATGTTACTGCTTTCTGTGAGTTAGATACTCAGTCTCCTAGTTAATAAAGAACTGAGTATCTTGTCACTCATACCAACTGAGAATTGTGACACAATTGCATCAGTATCTGAGTGACCACATGAAACTTTTAATCCTGGAAGGCAGAAACATATGAGTATAGTTAATTTATAATATTTATACTCTGTAAATTTACATTGAGCACTGTTTTGTAAAAATAAAAATATCAATAAGAACACTGGATTATATAGCTTACTGTTCTTTCTTTTTATTACAATATATATATATATATATATATAGTAGGCCAATGAAAGAAATTCAAGAGATAAAAAAACAACAATAATAATAATATTGATAATAAGATTATAATATTTATTGTATATTAGTAGATCTTTTGACAAATTAGAAGCATGATGAGAAAAGATGTGAAGTCAAAAATTTTGTACATATCTATCTCCCTTATCAGCAATAAATAAAATGAAGTTTGACTTTTGTCCATTATGTTTGTATTGTTACTAGTATGTCTCATATGGAGTCTGGCAAGTTTGTGTGTGTGTTTAAATGTGTTCTAAACATGTTCCCTCTGCTGTAGTTAGATATTGAACTCACAACTCTTTGGATTCAAGTGACTTTTTGGATTACTCAACCAGTTTATATCCCCTGAAGAAAGTTGGAGTATACAATAGCTGAAATGTTGTGAATATAGCAGTAAAGATGAGGACAACAGTCTGAAAAAAGTGTAAATACCTCGTCTCAGAAATATAGACAGAAACCTGTAAAAGGTTGATAAGCTATAAAAAAAACAAAAAAACAAATCGATTAATCTTACTTTCCAGTTTCAATAGAGTCCAAAATCATTCATGTGGTCTTGTAGGGAATGCTTTATTCTCTACTTCGTGCTCTCTTTCCCAGAGATGCAACATTCTAGTACTATCATTTATTACTCAGTTCAGACCTTTGCTAGGACACATCATGCTTCTTCCACGGGATTGAATCATCTTCATTTCTTCTGTGTTTCAAATGTAAGAAAGAAGTTCTACTCAGAAACTTTTTCCCTTGAAGAAGTGACACCTTGTGGAACATGCTCCTGCATGTGTACTTCCCATTTAACTTGATCTCTTTAAGTTATTTAAGTCCAAATGTAAGAAGGAAGTTCCACTCAGAGACGTTTTTTCCACAAGAACTTATGGAATAGACTCTTGCATGGGTGCTTCCCTGAACACTAACCTTCTAAAGTCAGAGGTCAATCATTATCTATCCCCCTTATCCTCATTTCCTATCACCTTCACTTTCCTTCATATCACACACCTCGACACATTTATCATTAACATTTCAACTGTAACCTTTTACATTGAGCGGCTCTCGAGCCTTGTATTGAGTGAAATTGTTTAAAAACGTTCCTTTTGGACTGGCATTTTTATCTTTGTTGTTTTTACCTCAGAAACACCTGGATTAATGACTAAAACTATTTCTGAGCTCTTTTGTGAAAATGTGTATATGTGGACATTACAAGTTAGCTGAAATTGGTATTATATGTGAGATACTGATAAAAAAAAACATCTTTTCATTTCTTTCTTTTTTTTTTTTTTTCTTTGTTGTGTTTTGCAGGTGTCAACTACAGCACTATATGGCATCACAGACATTGGCAGAAAGTGCTTGCTAATGCTGCTGGATGTAGTTTTTCTATGCTACCCTCACCACTTCCCAAAGAAGGCACTATTCTTGGAGGCACCATCACATTGAAAGGCAACAATCTTTCTTTGGCCTGCTTCCATGGTTTCAATTTCCGTTCCAAGTCTTGGGCAATCTTCTCCATCAGTGAACCCGATATCATTTTTGCAACTGAAGCACAAATCAGTGCTGAAGGAGGTAGGATATACATTAGTCACAGGCTTTATTTTTTGTTTTTGTACTTTTCTTGCAAGTATTTATTGGATTTGATATATTCTTCTGGATATTTTGATAAATTAAGCACATTAGATCGATTGTTAATGGGTCATGAATAGCATAAATCTTTCTTCAGTTATATAATTGAGAACAGTTTGTTTTCTATACATGACAAAAGTGTTTCATGTAAAACCCTCAGATTTGGTATGTATATTTATTGGACCAAAAGAAAGGTCTTAAAAAAAAAAAGTAAACAAAAAGGTTTGTTCCTTTTAGGGAAGATGAAGGGGCCTAACAATAAACCCTGTTATGTTGTTGCAAGGATTTAAATTTCCTAGTATCAAAAAAAATTAAAATTAACAAATTAAATTATTTATATTTAATTAAACAATACTAATTAGACACTATTTACATTGTTTGGACTATCGTCCTCATCTTTGTTATGTGAATGTAAAATATTTTATCACAAAGTTTTAAAAATGAAATTAACGCTCCAGCCTTCTTCAGGTGGTTGGAATGTTTTTTGTTGAACCCTTTATTTCAATATTCATTGGGGATCGAAATAAAAAACATTCCAACCACCTGAAGAAGGCCGGAGCATATAACGGCTGAAACATTGTGATAAATATGGCAACAAAGAACAATATAAATAGTGTACATAATACCTCATCCCAGACATATAGACAGATATTACTAATTAGGTTTATTGACCGTTCTTCAAGCTGGTGATATAAATTAATTACATATACCATTATTGTTTAGTTTGGACAAACAATTCAGATGAAAAATAAAAATAAATCTCTTGTGTTTCACTTAAATATATTTCTTTTGAAAACTCTGTGTAATCTTTTGATAGCATATTATTAGCATCATAATGTAAAAAAATAAATTCACAAATCTCTTTTTTGTTACATAGATTTAGTAACAATTACCATTTGTAACTGTTTGGTATAAGATTATATTTTCTGTTTTATTATTAATATATTATTAATTTTCTTTAAATACTTTCATGGTAATTGTACTGATGACCTTTCCTCTATGATATGTAGACTTTATGAATTTAAGTGCAGTACAGTAATCCCTTGATCAGTGTGGCTAATTTGTACATTGGTAAATATAAAAAAATCAATTTTCAATTATGATAGTTAAACCGAAGAATGTTTTAGTGCACTAATTGAGTATTATGTATGCGCTAATTGAATTTTGATATATAAAAATTTTAGTGGACTAATTGAAAACACATTAATCAAATTATACCTGTACTAAATTGGTGGCGTCATTTTACAGTTGAAATGGTTAGATGTAATCATAAGTTCTATGCTAACAGTTTTTTCTATCACACTTCTTTCTTCTGGCTTTTTGCCTCCAAGTTAACTTTGACCTTCAAAAAATTAAATACAATGTCAGTTGTTATTTTCTTTCTTCTTGTTTTTTTTTATTTTTTTTTATTTCATTTTATTTTTTTTTTTCATATTCTGTAATACCCTTTGCATCTTATTAGCTTTATTGCCTTGTTTGGGGCGAAATGTTTTAAAATTATCTAGAAAAGAACAATTCCACAATTTTTCTCTCAAAATATTTCCTCTTTTTTTCTTTTTGCATTTTTTCAGAAACAATTGGAAACTATTTAGTTTTTCTTTAATGTAATATTGTTATTATAGTGATTTACTAAGTGTAGCTTAGATGTAGTGTAAAGCTACAAGTATGGACCATCTAGTGAGGATCACAGTCATAATTGATCTAGCAAGACAAGCTTACTAACGATTACCATACATTGATTTGGGCGAATATTGCCATTATAACCAACTGTGAATCAAATCTTGATGTCTTCCCCTCTGTAGATGGGTACTTCAGCTATGTATTAAACTAACATCTTTTTGGCAAAAGTATAGACTGAATTAATTTTTTCTGCCCAGAGTTAACATTATTATGTAAATCTTTGATTATACATGATTTTAATTAGTTTTTCCTTCTGATATTTAAATAACACATTCAGTTTTGTCTGCCTTTATTCAATTGTCTTTTGACTTGTTCTCATCACTTGATGCTCTTGATTTATTTTTGACTGAAAGGGAAAAAAAAAATCTCCAAACATTTGCTTCTTAGATAAAACTGTAAAAGATATCTGTCTGTAATTTGGAGGAAGCATGACATAAAGAATTATTTTGGCAATCTGAACAACTTTTACAAATGTAGAAGAATTAAAAACAATGAAAAAATTTGGGGAAGATTTTTGATATAATAAGTTTTAGAGTGAGTGACCATGGTTAAATGTAAATAAATGCAGAACTGCTCATCAAGCAGAATTGATAAAGTTTGCAATTAAAATAAAAAGAAAAGAACAAGGCAAAAGATAATATAAAGCAAGCAAGCAAACAATATATGCAAGAAATTAGCAGTAATAAAGCAAATAATTCACAAACACAGAATTGGGGTTGATACACAAGAGCTAATTCGGGTAAGTGAACGTTGTGTTCTGACTTCAAGACAGACTGGAACTGAGTCAGATGAAACTAAGAACCGGCCTATTTTATTTAAAAGATTTTTTTTTATTTTTGTCAAATCAAAATTATTGAAAGCATTAAAATCCTGCTATGAAAACATAATATTTAAACCATTTGACATTAGATTTAGGAGGGTGCCCAAAATATGCACTGACCATGTCCTTTTGTGTTACAGTGAATATAAGCATTGGTTAATCAAGCTGCCAAATAGTAGTCCTGAATTCAATGATCAAGGTGTGAGACCTGGTTGAACAGGAACAAGTAAGAAAGAATGTCATAGACAATTAAAAGCAATAGTCAGCTTAACACAAGATATTCACTATCAACTGAAATATTGAACTCCTGAAGATGGCCAGAAGGTATTTAACTGAAATGCTGTCTTATAATAGCAGTTGTAAAATTCAAAGATGAGAACAATAGTTCAAGTAAATTGAACAAATAAAAACAAAAATTATTATGTTGCGAGAGCTGTTATATGGAACTAGCAGGTAAAATTAAAAAAAAAATATATCTATATATACTCAAACATCTCCCACCCCAAAGTCCATGAATTTCCTTATATCATTAATATTCATAGAAAGAGACTTTTGTAGAATATAAATAGGTTTGTGGTGAAATGTTTCTTCTTTGTAGATTGAAGATAAGCAATCATTTATTTTATCCCAAAACTTTAGTCTTTCTGTCATTTGAATACAGAAGAGACTTTGTGCATTGTCTCAAATGTTGTTGGAAATTGAACTGAATGTTTTATACAGACTTTTGTGCTTGTTCACTCATGAGGGGATTTTTGCCAAGTCTTTCTTTTTCATTTTTTGTTTGGCTAACTCAAATCGAAGCTGTATTTTTGCCTTTGAAATGAATGCACTATTGATCTAAACTTTAAAAGTTTAATCTATACAACTGAAAATTTAAATTACTTCTACACTAGTCACTCACCCTCTTGTGCATATTGTGGTGAATGCACGTTAGTACAGATGCAAAAGAGTCCTCAGATTGCATGTAGATATGTTTGTCAACACCAGTCACATCCGGATTTTTCTCATTAGCAGCGGAACAGTTTGGCACGTCTATATACAGACCTCTCTGCAGCTGGTCAAGATCTGGTTCTTTGTAAGTTGTCTCATGCCAATAAAAGCAGGGTGAAAATTTAGCAGTCGGCAAGACACAGTATCTTGTGATGTCAGTTCCATGGACATTTTTGCTCCTCAAGTTGCTATGGTTTTTGATGCAGTATTATTTTTGTTAGCGCCTGTCACTTTCCCCTCTCTGCCTATTACCCCCCCCCCCATAGTTGCTGGGAAAGTAATTGTTTAGTTGTTTTCCCTCAATCTCAACCCACTCTTTGCTTACATTACAACACATAAACCCTTTTATATTTTACTTAGAATTTGTTTATATCCAAATTTACTATCACAGTATCTTGACATTTGTATTTGTCTTATTTAGTTGATCTGAATAGTTTTCAAGGAATTTTTAACTAAACCCTTTATTTAATCTACAATAGTTGATTGTTCTCATTCTGCTATATCTAGGGATATTTCATCTTACTTTTTCAATATTGCTCACCTATTGGTAGATTTATTTACCTTTAGTCTGAATCTGTCCTACCCAGCCCATGGATTGAACTCACAATTACTATGTCAACAAATTCATGAACCAATAATCTTTAATCCTCTAATCTGTGGGACAATCCTGAATCTAGGATTGGAGGCCTTAAACCTAACATACTTATTGCGTTCCTGCTGTTGCTATGTTTAATCTCCTTCACTTGTATTTCTTTTTCTTACTTCTGCTTGCTTAGAAACTTTCTCAAAGGAAAAAATAATTTAAAAAGAAACAAACTTGTTATATCAAAAAGTCCAGATGTTCACTGAAGATGATTGATCATTCATGTTATCTCCATTTCAAAGACTGACACAACCTACTTGTATTCAAATGTTTTAAAAAGGTCAGTTGTACATTATGACCAATGATTCATGTTATTCATAAGTTTCTATTACATTCAGAAATATCTCTCTCCTATGCAGAAAACATTTCTTGAAAATACTTGTTTGCAGATTGGACTCCTGGTTGACAATTTCTCTGAGAAATCTTTTGAAAATGGAACACAAAATTATGGATAAATTTGCCAAGTGCTTTTTTTTTGTTTTTTTAAATGGCTTAAACCAAAACTGTTTTCATTCTTGAAATTAGTGAAGTTTGGCCTGAATATTAATGAATCTATTCTATATAACTGAAAACTTACTGTATTTGTTGACATCAAAGACACAGTTTTATTTTTCTGAAATTATTCTCGAAAAATTGCTGTGCGAATGTTAGGGTTTTTGTAGGCCTATACTAACCCCAGAGGAAGGTTATCTAAGCCAGATAGTAAACTGAATTACTGTATGTTATACAGATTTACAGGACTTATTTCAGGAAAAATACTGCATCCTTGATACCAGCAAATACACTAAGTTGCAGTTTCCTTGTCTTTTT